TTTTTTCCATAAGGGTGCAGTTTGAACAGCTGTATTTATTTTATTTTATTTATTACACTCATAAGAGTGTGCCCGGATCAGACAAAGAGAGGAACGAACGATAATAGCTGAATGAAGTTTTTTTCACAAAAATTGTAGAGTACAGTCCCTAAGAATTGTAGAGCACAGTCCCTCATCAAGTTCTGGAGTTGGTCAACGTCTTCCTGAGATGCGCCACGCAAATGAATGTTGTCCAGAAATGTAGTGGCTGTCGAATTCATCTTCATCCTTATACTATTTCGACTAGTATGATCATCAAGTCCCGACATTTAAACTTTTAAAAATGGTAGGACCCATAGAGCTATTTAATTGCTGGTTTTTATGTGGCACTGAGTAGTTGACGGTTTTGGTGGGGAAAGTCTAAGTAGTGGTCATTTGCCAGTTGTTATCAAGTGCTAGGTCAAGCTTTCCTTGTTTCAGGGAAATATGAGTGATGAAAGCTTAGTGCCTATCAAGTTATCTGAGGTTTGAACCATGCTGCCGCTTTCTTTGAGGGTCTATATATCTTAATTGCATGTACAGTATAGTCTATGATTTTTTGAAATGTGCTGAAATAAAAGCCAGAACTTTCATTGTCATAAAAGTCTGGTACTATTCAACTTGCCCGGTGAAATGAAATACCTGGTTGACATAGGTGGAAGACGATACGAGACGTGGTGCATGCTGCAGTGACGCCACTTTGCTCCTCTCTGCCTTCATTTCTTCTTTTCTATAATGACATGGGATTTTCTGATATTGGACACCGATTCAGGCACGATTTTTCTAGAATCCATCGCACCGGCATCGTTATGCTGGAAGATTGAGGATCAGCGACATTGGCAGAACTAACCCCTGTGCCACCAACGAGTCATGGACTGTTCGAGTAACAGTCCGTCAGAGGGACAAACAGTCCGACGATCAGGAAGCTGTCATAAACTGAGGCAGTTAGAGTAAGTTATGTTTAAGTTTGTGGCAGAGGTGACAATGAAACGATTCAAAAAAGGCTTGGTAATACCTATCTGATAGTGTTTCGGGATTTCTGTCCTGGGGCTTTTATCTATGTATGTACATCTTTACTGCGAGCAATGACAACCTTATTCTTTCCGTCTGCCATGGTTCTTCGTTTTGTTCGTCGCTTAGAGTATTTGACTGCCTCAATCATCATCTGAACGCTTGTATGTTTGGTTTGATCCCTATGTAACTATTTAGTCCCATTTCATGGGTCTTTGAGTTCAAAAGGACCGACAGCAGGGGACTTGATGGAGGTTTCAACCCTGGACTGTTTCAACATAACTACTCACCAGTGTTTCACCTTAAAAGACCTTTATCTAGTCTAAAATGATGTAGACTTCCACAGATTCGAATGAACTCGCTTGAATAGCTGTCTGTCCAATGTAATACCCTCATCTTCGGCTGACTACATAGTCAGCAATTTCTGCAGGAGTTGGCGAATATGATTAGGCTCTCAAATAAGCACTTGTCCAATTTCCCTGAGTAATAGTAATAGTAGGTATCAGCTGCCGTGCCTATGATTGTCGGCAGGTGTTAGTTAGTGCCTGGTACGTTCAAGGTGTAATATTATTTTATGGTATATGTGTCCATTCTCACTGAGGACTATTGTTTATGTGCATTGGATGGATAGGTACAAAAGTGGCATTAATTGATTGAATAAATAAGCCAATCAGTTAGTAAAATGATCCCAGGTACAGTGTGTAGGTAGGATCTCTCGCGGGCCTTTGCTAATTTGATGGATATGACCTTCAAGATAGACAGTCATTAACAAAATTGAAACATTGATCGATGGAAAATAAGCAGCGAAACACGAAATTTCGCCATACGTTGGTGTGAACAGTGGGTCCGAGTAATCCCAGTCTTCGTTGGGGAAGTGGAAGGGTATGATTTGGGTTAATTGGGTTCAGCTCTTGAATGAATGAAATAGAAAATTGGTAATTTTGCTTGGGAGATGTTTTAGGAACGAGATCTTCCTTAGTATCTGAAATGAATGGTATCAATGACATATTTTGTGAGTTCTCATGATATCTAAGATTATCCGAAATGTTGAATGTACAGAATCTCATTGAAATTTTTACTCCAGTTATCAACAAAGTAAATATCAATATTTTGCAATGGATGTCATCGGCTCATCGGACTTTGGAGGTCTGTTGTAAAATCGTGGCTTGATAATACGGGCCGGCCTCTTCAACTTATTGTAGTCGCCGATGATAAGGGTACTGTACGGCGAATTAGCACGATTGACCGCAACTGCACCATACAGAGAACGGAACGAGACGATGAGAGTGGCGTAGCTGGTTAGAACTGAAAATCATCGTTCACATCAGAAGAGTTCTCGGACCTGCGAAAAATCCCATTAACTCACATTCACTGAGACTGATGAAGACTAGGATGGAATGCATGACGAGTTGCTGCTCATCACAGTGTTCCGTACGGCATGTGCTGTTCAGAATGACGGCACATTCGATGAAGATTGCCGTTGAAATGAGTAATGTCGCAGATGCGAAAACCATCAACAGAAGTTGAGTGCATCGATCTACTCTCCTGAAGTTCAAATAGTTCAAAATTTTGAGCTGTTGGTTGAGTAGAATCCTCTTATCAGACAGACTCGACCCTCGGACTAGATCCCGTATGATAGACCGAGATTTTGCTCTCTTTAGGCCCCATACCGAAGTGTTACTCTCAGGGTTTCACCCGAATGACGGTGCAGTAATGTGAACTTTTCTATGATTTTAGAAGATGAAATCCCAGGAGTGTATAGAAAAAGCTAGGAGTCATTATTGTTCGCGACTAAGTATCGGAGTGGATGAAAAGGGCTGCCCGATTTAACCGTCTGAGCTTCTAGAGAATCTCGGAGTTCGAGGAAAAGTTCCATCAGAGGATACTGTTAGTGAGTGGACCATTCAAACGAGGAACCCAAAGTAAAAGAGTATTTTGTTGTCAGTAGCGCTTTGATGAAGAGCATATAATACGGCATCATATGATGTCAGACCATATGCTAGCGAAGTTGGGCTAAGCAGCATATTCCGCGAATTTCGATGCCTCGGGTCTTTATGGGCTCGTCTCCTTGGTAAAAGTACCGGATGAAAAAACATTTTCAATTGAGACAGATGTCAGCGGATCTGATTCTTCGTCCATGTAAACAAAGCAATTTTTCTATAAATAGCCTTTGTAATTTACTGTCATTTTGAAGAAGGAATAACAATAAGAAGATTCGAATGTACTATATATAGGTTTTCTTTCACATCACAACCCGACAGGAGTTCCGGCACAACCACAATTATCAAAATCTATCATACATCTACAGTCCTTTACCAGATCCGACCAGTTCACTTAGCCCCTTTAGCTTTTCAGAGTAATAGGCGATATTTAGGATCCACGAGCAAAAAACGCAGTCTTTTAGAAAACTGAGTTGTAATATAAAGTAGTGAGTTGTAATGCTGTATAATTCAATGTAATCTAATGTAATATGATATGATATAATGTAATATAATGTAATATAATATAGTACAACATAATGTAATGCTATATAATGTAATATAAACTAATGTAATTGTATAATATGGTATGGTTTAGTTTAATTCGGATAAGTAGAAGCTAATTATTCGTAGTTACGTGTTTTCACGGAAAATTCAAACCTTGTCGCGATAAGGCATAATATTCCGCAAATGATGTAGAGAATAGCAGCAGAGATCACATAAGAATTGTCGGTGACGGGGCTGGTAAGCAAATCGAACAACTGAAAGTGTGGCTTCGAATGAGACAGNCAGTGGATTGGTAACTGTGACTCACAGTGATTAACACTCCCAGAATGATATGTATAAGTCCCAGAAGCCAACCACATCGAGAACATGACCATACACGAGCCAAACTCTCGAGAGGATCTGAACTCGGCGAGGCGATAAACGGTTTGTTCAGTTGCTTGAAATATTTGGAATATTCGAGCGTATTTACCTCCGTTCTCGTATCTTCGAATGATCGTCGAAGGCGAAGTGCTGGTCACGGATTGAATAAGTGGATTGTCATCGTTCATCGTGGTTTAGAACCTCGGTTCTGAGTTGGAATGAGGTGAAGTCAAACTCTACTCGCTGCGTTGGATAGTGTAAGAGGCGATATGTTCACTTTCTGACTGCCATTAAGCGTGACGGTGGAAAATAGAGAGAATCATCTACAGTAACCATTTTATGAGTGTTTCAGTCGTGCCCAGGCCAAGTCTAAATGTTGGAACTTGTTTGCAAACTTGTAGAAATTTTCTAATAGAGGCGTTTGTCCAGTGATGGACTCAGGTGGGACGCCACTTACCCCGTTGCGAGTGTTGCAGCGTCAAAGGCTGATATGTAGGGGTAATTCTCAGGGAAATAAAAGAAATCTGGAAGATTCGAGGCCGACCTAAAATCTTACACGTCGATAGCGCATGATAGAGTTTTTGAAAGTCATTGCAAGCGAATCGACATGATCTTTCCATTTCAAAAAAAGAGTAGGAACCCCGGAGAAGCCTCCGCTTTGATCGAAGATATTGGTGGTCAACACTCGGCAGAAGCAGTAAGGTAGCTAAAGCGAGAGCGCAGTTAGGGACTGTAGCTTTAAACCAAAGTTCGAACTCATTGGCAAGATGAACGACATGTGGCAACGAAATCGCGATCAAACATTGAAGTTCCTTCCCACTTTTCAACTGGAGAGAAATCTGTGAACTGGGAACTGTGGGATCTCCATTTACGGCCTTGTTTGAACACAGCAAAATATGAAGATTGCATAAGCGTTGCTGATGATAATTTTAGGGGTCTAGCCAAAATCCTCATAAATAGAAACGTATTGAACAGCCAGGCAACACTTTACAGGGTGTTCTCCTGTTTTAAACACAGTTTGGTTTGTCGGAATCATGGAGGGCAAGGTGGTTTCTTGTAATAAATCGGTTCAGACGGTTTTTGACGAAGCTCAGATCGCCTGTCCCTGGGCTATGGGCCGACCCAATGGTGAACCTTCGATATTTTTTATAAGAATGGCTATCAACCCACAGAATTGTTGTTGCTGTAGTGGGACCCGTGACCGCAGTTGACGATTCTCTCAACAGGTAAAAGCTTCGAGTATAGAACGCAGAGCGGAGGAAAGGAACGAGGGCTTATAAATCGCTTGAAACTATCCGCTATGCTCCAGCTGTAAGTGTAACAAAACAATTTCAAACAGCTGAAAGCCAGCTCAGCAATTAAAAAGATGATGGAGGCGGCGGAGGTGATTGGCGTTGGAAATATTGATAATCAAGATAAAAAACTTGGACAGGAAACATATGATGTTCGTGATTTGGCAGAAGGGAGAAGCGTCAGAAAACGCGCGTACGCACTTCTTCATGAAAAGCACTGTGTAAAACAGCTGTGGGGCATTTCGTTGCGGGCAAAGGTCCATTGCAGAAAAGTGCAGGATTCCTTGTGTTGCAATGGAAAAAAATCACGAGGTCATAAGAACTTTATTGATCATTATGGGCAAAATAAACCTAGAACTTCAGAAAACTCGTTTAACATAGAATCGTAAGGGAGAAACCCGTGGGAAAGCATTTAAGCACTTGTTTTGTGGTATTGAGCTGATCATTTGATTTCTGGAAAGCTCTTCTGTGAGCGATTGTAAGTTTGTAGCTTCGGATCCGTGAAGAGACCGATTTTCGTCCTATTGAAGTATACAGCCATGCTGGTAATTACTGACCGGAGCCATGTTGACTAGTTTTCCGCTTCGCCGTAATCGGCTGAAATTAGGTGATATGAGCAGGAAATCCGTTCATAACAGCAGTTCCTCGGGATGACTCACACCTAAGGGAGCTTTGTTCCATGGTGCAATAGGAGCAGCCGGAGCAGATTGTCGTATTGGAGGTTGAACAAGCGCCAAACATCCGACAAAGGCGGAAAAACTGAAAACGGATTTTTATGCTTGAGAATGTCGCACATCCTTAGAGAAACTCGAAACTTACTGAATTTTATTGTCATGTGTGAGGAAACTGGAAACGAGACGTTGATGGAATGGCCGGAATGCTTCTTCAAGACCGTACATTTCGAGGAGCATGTTGAATTCGCACAGCTCGATCACCTAACGGAAAAAGTCTTGAGAATCTTTTTTTGATACATCGTAATGACAGCTTGAGAAGAACCTTTATTTATTTGAATCTATAAATGAAAATGATGTTTCGCCACGATGTCGGATACGTCATGAATTCTACCCTCATTTGGGATAAAGGTCTGGTTTGGTATCCTGTACAAAGCTTTGAGGTGCTAATCAAAAGATAATTAAAGGATAAAATCTTGGGGCGTCAATTAATCCCATCTGGGGGATGCGCCCCCTCACTCGACTTCCATTCAGAATCGTAATGGCGGAATGAGTGCGTATGTGGCCTACACCATGACTTGCGGTAGCGAGCCGATGTACAAGTCAGTGCTTTTTCCTCCCAGACGAGTCTGGTACAAATTAACCGACCCCGGAGGGATGGAAGGCTTGGTTGGCTTTGATGGATACCGATCCGGGATTCGAACCCCTGACCATGCGTGTGAGATAGTGCACCACTTGCCACTACACCACGTCCGCCCTTTTTTGGAATGGCCCTGACAGTAACGTAGTTTCCGTGAGGACAAAGGATATGTAAGGAGAGCTTGGTCAGGGAAGAGAAAATATGTGATATTTAATCTTCTAGGTCCCTTCTTTCAGCTCGACGTTTTTCCGGGAAATTGTTTTCAAAGAGTACAAAATGAACAAAAGTACAGCTCCTAGTGCTCAATTTCATGGAAATCATGTTCAGTAGAGGGAACTGTTCATGGTAATGTTTCACCCCGAATGGAAAAAAGGCGTCCACAAATGCTCCAAGAAAAAATCTGCATCTGAACACCCACCTTGTGAGTTGTGGCTGTTCTTAGTCGATCCAAAGACAAAGAGAGTTCGGGGTTCCGCATAAGCATCACTTCGATCTCTTTCATAACCTGATATACATAAAATAAAACTTACTATCTGATTGGTATCTTTTAGCGAATTCCATTTATAGGTATCTTATTGTTTGTGTCAGCTTTTTGTGCCAGAGAAAGGGCCTTTTTACAGAAACAGTCTCCTCCCTCAAGTACGCCAGGCACTTGTCTTGCGTTCTTAATTGTGGGTTTGCCCAGATAGGGATTCAACTCGCGAGTTGTTATGCATGGCAGTGATTCATTTCTCGATGAACTGAAGGTGCCATTTAAGCACAGCCGTAAACATGGGAGCTCTGTCATCTCAGAGTTTACGATCCGAAGAGACACGCCTGCCCCTTGAAATAAATTTGCTAGCTAATCTGTTTGATAGGCCAGAATTGGTGGTACGAACTTTGCCTGGAACGAAAGCGCTTTCAAAAGCGACTAGATGATGGTGTTCAAGAGTTGGGAGAGCAGCCATCTGAAAAGATATAAATCGGCGCACAGGGATCTATACTTAGTCGTGAACGCCTCAGAATTAGTTCAGTCCGAGTTCTGATGAGGCAAAATATGAATGGGCTAATTAATTTACCTGAGCTCGGCAGATCTGGCGATTTTCCTGGCTTGTGCTCGATTTGAATGTGAATTGACCGTCATCGATGTTTAGCGGTGTGAGGAGCTCAGGTCTGAATAGTTAGTTAGCGCTTATTCATAACGTCCAGGCAATTTCTATCTGCCAACCTCATAACCTACATGGTTTCTTCGCTGACTTCAGGTTGTCTCGTCTTTTGAATAAGCGCGAACAGCCTCTTGTATTCGATGAACTCTCCTCTGGGTGCCATGGAATTCA